GCATTCCTTTAGTGTCAAAAAGTGAACATATAGTGAGCTGTGAGCAAAACTCAAAGTTACAAACACATTCAGGACCTACAGAAAGTATAGATTCAATACATTAGCCAAAAACAACTGTACAATCAGCCAGCTGATACTGCAAATGTGCAGAGGTTCTTCATCAGCCTCAACTACTTATCAAGCTTGATAAACACATATAAGACAAAAAAAACAAGAAATTAAGGCATCTTTCAATCATTTGTTTAATTATTTAGCGTAAAGGGGAGAAGCAGACGGTCTCGGATAAGCAACTGAAGGATTTCTATTAGCAACATCACCAGCACTTCGTCTACGTGGTCTAGGTCGGTTGCTAGCGTGGCTGCGAGTATTTCCTGAATCTTTAGATTGTTGATAAAGTTGCTCCAGTTCTTTAACAATGTCACTCATGCTTGGTCTAAACCGAGGATCTTTGGATAGGCACCGCAGGGCAAGGTTAGCTACTTTACTCGCCACCTCCATTGAATACTGGCCTTCAAGACGGGTATCCAGAACACGGAAGACCTTACGTTTGTTACCTAGGTAAGGTTTCGCCCACTCCACTAGATTGTGTTCTCCGGATGGTCTATTCTTGTCGATTGCCCTACGACCTGACAGCATTTCAAGGAGGACAACTCCAAAACTATACACATCACTCTTGCTAGTTAAATGACCTGTATCAAACAGATGGATCAAAGGGAGTTGAGTTATTAATAGATAATTCAAGGTACAAGTAAATTATGACAACGGTTGAACGCAACAGGGGAAGTCGGCAAGAGTACAAGTTTGTATCGGCTGATTAAAGACTCAACATGAAGATATCAAAGTCCATCCCAGAAAGAGCAGTAACTAATTGTTGCCCAGGGGATGGAGTGCAGTACAAATGCATCATAGGTGAATGACTAATGAGGTTCTTGACAATAAGAATGCGAGTTAAAAAGAAAAGAGAAAACTGCATGTTAGATGGATCTTGGATAAGAAAAAATGTTCCATCTTAGACGTAAAGATGTCCTGATCAGTACCTAATATTCTAAATTTGGATACTCTATGGATGTCGGGCCACGTTGGAACAAGAGAGAAAACTAACACATGAGTCAGGGGGGAAAAGAAACCATACCAGTAGCCATGTATTCTGGAGCGGCATATCCATAGGTCCCCATAACCCTTGTAGAGACATGGCTTTTATCGCCTGTTGGCCCATCCTTGGCTAATCCAAAGTCTGAGAGTTTGGCAGTGTAGTTCTATAACGATAAAAGAGAAACAGCACCAAGTAAGCACACGTTAGCTGGTTCGTAATAAGCAAGCAATTGCACAAAGATCTAATTCATAGGGGACACATACCGAATCAAGCAAAATATTCGAGGTTTTGAAGTCTCGATATATCACTTTAGTCTCAGCACTGTGGAGAAAAGCAAGCCCTTTTGCAGCTCCTAGAGCAACCTTCAAGCGTAGTTTCCAAGAAAGAGGCTGGAAATAAGAACCTCCTGTTACAGAACAACAAACACTATTACTCCAAAGGTGTCGATGATCATAGAGTTGAAATTAAGATGGTAGGGGCAAAGTACTCACTCCTAAACAAATGGTTTTCCAAGCTGCCCCGAGGCATGAACTCATAAACCAAAAGACGATGTTCGTCCTCCAAGCAGTAGCCAATCAGCTTTACAAGATGAGGATGAGAAAACTGCCCCAAATAGTTAACTTCTGCCTAAAAACATAGAAGCATAATACAAATCAGAACTCAGACAACCTTATGACACTCAAAATAACAAAGTATTAGCACTTAATAAAGCACTCAATAAGTAACAACGACAATTCTTGTAGAGGCAGAATCAAGATTTGAAGTTTATGGGTTCTGAACTTGCCTCAAATCTCATAATTCATCTTCTTTAGTAGGTTTCGCAATAAAACGTTTCATACATATTTAATGAATTTCCTAATACAAATACAGGGACTAAGCAAAAGCTACTGGCTTCGTCCAAACCAATAGCAAATGATCTAGTTCCGCTTACTCTGAGTTCATGGTATAATCAATGCACTTTAAGCTTAAACCGACTCGAACATCTCCATATCAAACATAAAAAAAAAACTCACCAGCCATTCCCTGTGACCTTGAAAACCTTCTTGATTAAGCCTTTTCACAGCAATGATCACACCTGTCCCAGGCTTGGTAGCTGCGAACGTGTTCTCATCGATCCACCCTTTAAAAACTGATCCAAATCCACCTTCTCCCAGCACACTATCGGGACGAAAGTTCCTAGTGGCTGTTCTGAGATCAGAAAAACTAAAGCTCTTCAAATTGGGAGACTGCAATATCTCTCCTTCACTTCTAGTAGTTGATGGAACCCTGGAGCTTGAATTACTATCACCACCATCTATGCTAACAGATCTTGAATTTAGCCCTGCAATAATTCTCTCAATTTATTAGATTACCATCAATTAACCCCATTAGAACACAACAAAACATCTTAAATCTTAGTAGCTCAATTAACTAACTTATAATCCCCTTTGCTACCCCTACCCCCAATTTTTTTTTATCAACAAGATATATTAATCAGGATAACTACTATTACCAAATAGAGACTACTAAAAAATTAGCAAGAACTCAAACTAGCCACTTTACATGAACAAAGGCATGATCATCCTAATATGAATGAAAATTAGAAAACAAACAAACAAAACCATTCTACAGAACCCCTCCTCCAAAAAGACTCAAATTTGCAAAAATTGTGCAAGTAAACAAGAAGAAAAAAAAGAGTTCATAGTCTTATATCAAATACCTGTATGAAATGGGCTTTCAGCTTTAATTCTAGCACTCAAACATATCCCCATTAGAACAACAACAAACAAAAAACAAAATCACCCCTTTTAGCTTCTCCTTCTTCTGTAGACCCCAGAACACACAAACTACTTGTATATTCAAAAAAAAAAAACAGATCCAAGTAGCTCAAAGCTGAAATATGAAGAAAACAGAGAAAGGGTCTTTGTTATTTCTTCTGAAAGAAACACACAAAAAAAAATGAATGAGTCCTGTTTTTTCAAGAACAAAGAGAAGGTTTTTGAAGAAAAGAAAGCACCCCACCTCTTCTTTTTTCAAGAAAAGTCAGTAGTTTTGGTTTTGGAAAAGATAAGAAAGATGATGGCTGCTTAATAGGTGTTTTCTTTTGAAACAGAGATCAAAACAAAGAGCTAAATTTGACTTATCTAAAGCAGTGGTTATAGGAAAATGTTAAATGTAGGGTAGTGAAAGAGGAGAGGAAGGTTGGTAGAAGGAGATATTAATGGCAGACTGGTCCTACTACATATCTTTAAAGTCTACATTTTCTCTCTCTCTCTCTCTCTTTGGACTGCTGGTCTTTAATTCACACACACTACCAGGCTTTAAGGGTGTTTTGCTTTGAATTTGTGGCTAGGACTCATGGTGATGACTAACTATGGTGATTGTGAATATCGATTAAGAACAATAGTGTAAGTTGCAGTTAAAGGTTAATGATGATTAATAGTAATGATCAAGAGCGATAGGTGATGTTGATAAATAATAATTGTGATGAATGATAAATCGTTATTGATGATATATAAGTAGTTAATAATGATGATGAATGATGGTAATGCTTGAAAGACAATAACTATGGTGGATGAAGAGCAATGGTTAATGATGATGGTGATTGACGATATATAAGTAGTAATTAATAGTAATGACGGGTGATAATGATTTATTGCGATAATATTGGATGTACTACATTGAAAATGGTCGTCAATGGTAAGTAATTAGCAACAATAATTTAATTATCGATAAATATAATTTTTTTAATAACAATTAACACTCTTTATAAATTTCCCTAAAGATTTTAGCGATAGTAAATTTAATGATACTTAAGTAATGTCGATAAAAATTTACATTTTTTTATTAAAGTATATAGTTATGACTGCAAAAAAATTACTTTTGTTATAAGGATGGCGGCAATGACGACTTATTGTAGTGATTGGGTGTCAGTGATGGTGATTGTGATTGAGAATGGATTGGATGGTGGTTGTAGGCACGTTTCTGGCACCAAAACGGACAATTTTTGAACCCTAAACATCAAACCTCAAAAGAGACACTCTCTAAATTACATACCTAAATAGACAATTTGTTCGGTTATGTGCAAATTTTAACTATCATCTTTTAAAAATCTCCACTCCGTTAACTTATTGATCCAAATATTATTAAACAAATTTTAAAGATAATTCATTTGAGGGCGAACTGCAATTTTCTTTATTAACTTTCCACTTAAATCTATATCTCTTTCAATAATAAAAAATTTTAATACACAAAATACTGAATTTTTTCACTTAATTACAAGTAGTAATCATTCAAATATAGACACAGTGATTGAAACATTAATAAAAACATAGTTAACATTTACATCTTAATAATTAATATTAGATCTAAAAAAAATCAAATGAACTTATTCACTGAAATTTATATGATTAGAATTTAACTATATGGATTAAATTAGTCATGAAAATTAACTTTATTTTCATTGTGCCCTTCCATTACAAAAAATTAGCATATTGATTTTGATCTCTCTCCATATATGTGTAATAACTATAAATTTATTCACTTTCAATAAATATTTGTGATTTTTAATATTAATCAACTTTTAATTTCCTCTTTATTGATAAAAATTTATTGTTGATCTTCTTCATAAATATGAACACAAGAAAAATAGTCAAAAATCTCATTTAAGCAAAACACATGGAGAAATGTCACATTTTTATGGATGCCACCCATTCATCATTTTTTTTAAAATAAATAATTTCATCCGTTTCAATTGATGTGATATAAATAATTTAAATTATAATTTTAAATATATTAAAAATATATATATGATTATAACTTATTTTATTATCAATAAAATAAATCATTACTTAAATATAGAAACTATATCATTCTTTCAAAATTGATTTTAAAAAATGAATTATATATAAATTAGGAGAGAGAAAAAAGGACCTTTCACTATTAATTAACAATAACATCAAAAAAATATGTATCACTTCTATTAAATCCACCGACTAGTGGATATGAATTACCCAAATTGTTATTAATGGAAAAACAAAATTAAAAAGAATGCTTAGCAATTTAGCAAAGAGTTTTAAGTCAAAAGGAAGCAATAATCAAATTTCCAATTTTCTTGGATTATAATCATATTTGGGAACCAACAAATTATTCACACCCAACCAACATTTTCTCATTTTCACACGTGCATATAATTTTTTTGGGGATATAAATAATTTTTAAAAAAGATTATTTTGATGTTCAATAAGATACTTTTAAAATATTTGTATAATAAATACTATAAAAATAAAGACGGGATGGGGTGTTGGGATAGAGAGAAAATAATCAATGTAAAATATTTTTTTTTAAAAAAATATACTTTGTGTGCGAAATAATTAAACTAGTAATATCAGTCAAATAGTAATTACAAATAATTCTATCATAAATATGATTCTCTTCGTTACAATTTTTTCTAAAAATAATGTCATGCATTAAAATACAAAGTTAGAAAATACTAGTATTATTATTTTGCTTTTTTAATTTCAAATTTAAGCCGATCCTAAAAATTAAATGACATTCATACAAATTAAACGCAAATTAAATATGAGCCACAAAGTGTAACTAAGTACAACAAGAATGTTGATAAAAAAATTCATTATTAAATTGATACACAGTGTTTAGATTGTTAACTTTAAAATTTACATATTATATTATCGATTGACAATAACATAAATATAAATAAAGTAGTAGAAAATATTGTTTAATTCTGGAAACATCATATAAAAGTTGGTAAAAGAAAATAATTAATACCTCAATAACTATTGCTAGGGTATAGAACAATGACATTTCTTGGAATAATATCAAATCAATGGATGTGTAATTTATTTTATTAAAAAAATTAACTATATAAATTAAAATAAAGAAAATATTTTAAAAAATGACATATTTAGTTTGCTTAATGAGTTGAATTATCACAAAAAATTAATAAATCATCAATCTAATTTTTGGTCTAGATGATTTCTCTTTCATGATTACTAATCTTCTCATTTAAGAAATAAAAATCTTCCTTAATATATGAATTCACATTATATTTCATTTTTAAAAATCAATTTTTCTCAATAAATGTCTTTTTCATTCCATCTAATTGTTCAATCAGATGGAAACAAAATTTATCCATGAATAAAATAATAAGACCATTCTAATAAATAAATATTTTTTTCGGTCCATATATACGTAAGCATTAGGATAAAATAATAGATTTTTTTTTTAAAAAAAAGAAGAAGTTTGATTAAGATTTAAGTAATAATAACAAAAAAATTTAAAAATTATTAAGTATTCCTCCGTTTCATTTTATGTGGCAGTGATATTATTTTCTTTTTTGTCATTCTAAAAAAGAATGTCACATTTCTTTATATGATATGTATTTAAAGTTACAATTTATTTTTTATCCTTATTGGTTTCACTTAATTTTAAAAATAGTAATACCTAATATATTTATGAGAAAAGAGAAAAATAAATTTATTTTTTTAAGACAATTTAATAAATATTTTAAATTTTTTATTATTTCTTAAATTTAGTACATGATTAAATGTTACTATATAAAATAAAACATATCAAAAAATAAAATAAAATCGCAATTAATTTGGTATAACAAAAGTACGTACGGACAAATCGAGGCGGTAATAGTCAAAGGGTTTGCATTTATTTGTCACCTTTTGAACGAGATTGACGCTCACTATATTCAATTTAATAATTATTAATTTTTTATTTCAATTTGCGTAATATAATTAAAATTTTAAAAGTTAAATTAAGTTTGACATTTCAATTCTTTTATATAATTGTTCATAAATAATCATTTAGATGTGTATGGCATAAATTTATTTTTATTTAATAAATTTAAAAATCATATTAAATAATAAATTACATTAAATAAATTATTATGAGCTCGCCTCAGAAGATTAACCTTTATTATTACGTGTAAAAAATTCAAATTTGATAACTTTTTTATAAAAATGTATATGCTCCCCTTTAATAAAGTATGTTTTGCATGGAATGACGTAGTATTTACGTCTATTAATTATCACCAAACATTTAAATTTGAATACGAGTATGATTAATGTTTATTTTCTTCTAATTTAAAATTAAAAATATTTTCCATTATACCAACATAATTTAGTTTAAAAATTTATTATAGCATAAATTTAGTACAAATATTATTTTCTTAAATACATTCATGGTTTTTTTTTAAAAAAAATTAAATGAAAAGTTATATATACACGTGTGCTTCGAGAAAGTAGTACTATTTCTTTTTATTGGACCAAAAAAAGAAAGTAATAATATTATTGGTACCTATCAAGTTTGAAATTAATTTAATAAAACTTTAGGTTAGAAAAATATGTGACATGATATATATGTCTCTATCTTCCATCAACTTTCACAATTTTGTCTTTTTTGAAGAAAAAAACATTAGGGAAATTTCTTGTAAATTTACAAAAGGAATTCACGTGCATTTTGCATTTTTGATTCAAATTAATTGTCAATCTTTTAACTTTTTAATAAATGGTTATATTAATTATTTTAAAATTAAATTAAAAGATTATTTTAACAAGATAATCAAAATTTATAAAGATAAAGACATAATTAAAATATTTTAAGTTACATATTAAACTATGTGAGTGTTTCTGAAGTTATATTTTTGTATTATTTATACTTCTAAATTATACAAGGATTCTATTATGTCCGAAAACTGTGTGGGGATTATATGAAGTTTCTAGAGAGGCAATAGAATCTCGTATAATGCAAGTGTACAAATAATAGGGAAAAGTTTAAATTCGAAAGGGTAATAGAATTCTCAAATAATTTGTGTAATTGATATTTTTGTCATAATCTGAGATTCATTTATTTGAAGTACAAAGCATTCAGATTGATATTCTTATTCGTAAAACACTATAAATTATTATTTTTTACACGATTAAATCAATGAAAAAATATGTCACGTCATATATAAAAAAAAACATAACAAAAATAATTTAAAACGAAACTAATAATAAATTTAACCAAAGAACCTCAAAGTTTTCAAAGAAATTATGCCTTAGAATGTTCCAAAATCAGACCAAAACCAAATTGCTTGTCAACTTTGACAAACCTAAAGTT